GCCATAAACACGATGCGGAGGTTCTAGAACATTCTAATGATGAGAACTCCTCATAGCAAATAAAATTAGCAAATAGCCTACTTTTCAGTGCGATGGCGATGCGTTTGCCCCATCCTCTTTCTGAAAATGGGATAGCTCTGGCCATCTCAGTTAGTTTTGCACCATAAATGTGATTGTATTCTTGTGCTTTACTTATCCATCGATGACGTAGGCGATGTGATCGACGTACTAAATTGTGGAAAAATCTTCTTCTAGAGTTACAAAGCGGGAAAAAAGTACAAAGGAAAAATTAGAAAAATCTATCAATATTGCAACCTTTTGTGAATTTTGTTCTGGAATGTAAATAAAATTATTTGAGTTGCATTGGCATACAAAGAATTCCGCTCACTCAACAACGAAAATTATTTAACTTAAGATGAAGTAGAGCTTTAAGTTCAAGAAACTTACATTTTGCTTTTCTATGGAATACAGGTCTTTTACTGTAAACAACAAAGATGTCCCTTTTGGCGATAGGGTTGCGCTCGATTTCGAGAAGATCGTCCCAAAGAGCATCAGTGGAAGCCTGTAAAGGCAATTATTAATTGATGTCTCAGCTGAGTGGTTATGATCGGCAATGTCTAAGAAATAAGTCTGATTCATTGATAACAACGAATTTTCTCCAAAATCTTCTACAAGAACACGGTAAAACTATAGAAATTAGAAAATTCTGGAATGCGAATAGGAGCTGTTTCGATTTAGGACTTGAAAAACTCCATGAAAACCAACGAAATGCAACCTACTCGGAATTCGTCCATTTCGCTGAATACCTCTGTTTTGAGACTTTCCAAATCGGCTTGAAGCAGCGGAATAGAAATTACAGTGAATAATAGTGCAAAGGTACTACTACCGAGTGCCAGAATCAGCTTCCATTTCAAGGATTCAGTATCCATTCTAGGAGGGATTGCACTTTTGAAAACGCTAAAACAGCGAAGGTTAAGAAAAGAATATAAGTAAAATTGCATTTGAGAAGTAGGTTAAGAGGTAAGTAACGCACAAGTGCTGTGCGCAAGTAATAGTCAAGTAACAACTAAATATTATTTAGGCTATCGTAAGTAATCGGTGGACGCAAAGTAGGCGTAATACGATTCGAACCTTAGATATGGCTCGGTCACATTGTTGTTTTACGCTGAGTGTTTATGAGAAAATCCAATTACTCAGTGTCACCCATTTCCATTTCATCGGATAGTGTA